AGCACCTCTGCTCACCTCGCTGCCTACTGGCCTTGCATTCCCTGCTGGCATCAAGGGCCTCTTGGCCCACTGGGGTCAGAGGGCACGAACACAGAGGGTCTGTCCTGATCAGGTCGGTACCCCTGATGGTCACCCCCAGAAGGGCTTCCTTTCCCAATGACCCCGATCCGTCCACTTCCCCACTCTCTTGGATTAACGAGGTACGGCTCAGTTGGGCCCTCAAGAGTCCCCCCTTGTTCACGCTCAGGGTTTGTGAGAAGTGACCTGCGTGCTTCCGTCGGATGCATTCAGTCCATCCTTTTGAACGTCAGTGTCCTTTAGACCCAACCTGTGCAGCTGTGTTCCTCTCATTAAAGATGCTTGATGTAATCATTGGTTACTTTCCTTTTATTTTCCCTCAGGCTTTTCCATGAGTGCTGTTTTTTCTTTTTAATCTGTATGGCTTTTCTTCCTCTTTACTTCGTTCTGCTATGAATTGCTTTGCTTTGGTGAACTTGTCCTGGTATTTGCCTCACAGACGTTTTAGCCGCTGTGAATTTTCTTCATCTCTGTAAATAGTTCATCTGTGCCTCTCCCTGTTGCCGTTTTATTTTTACCCCTGTAAGCAACTGAGGTAGAAAAATAAATTGTTTACCACGGACATGCTGTGTGCTGCCGTCTCTTAGCCCGACAGTGTCCTGCTCTCGCTCCGGGGGAGGTGAATGCACTAAATAACCGGTACCAGTGACAGCCCAGTGCGGTTTCTGAAAGCATGCGCACTCCCCCTGGCTGCCGCCTGCCCCCAGCCCTCTCTGCTTCCTCGTGTCCCCTGCACTTGCTCGAGGTGGCCCTGTCCTTGAGCCGTGGCAGAGCGTTTGCATGCAGCAGCTGCTCGGTCCGCTCCCGTGCCCCCCTCCTCTGCCATCACCCCCTGCCCTCAAGTGAAAACGCCACCCAGCGCCTGGAGCCCCTCGCATCTGTGCACCAGGTGTGTGTGAGCCCGTGCACGCCCTGGGCACACCTGCCCACGTGTGGTTTGCACGTAGCTTGCTTTCCTAACTCCCCTGTACGGTGCAGGTCCGAGGAGGCACCTGTGTTGCTGGACATGAAGCTAGAAGATCTCATTTCCAGGTGCCACTTGGCCACATAGTAGCCATGTGACCTTGAGCAAGTGACTTAGCCCTCTGAGCCCTCGGGATTATAACGGTGCCTAGTGAGTTAGGGTTTTAGAATTACCTGGGGTGATGTGTATATGTGAACGTGCCCTGTAAATCGGTGAATGCTATACAACTGGAAGTTTCAGAAACAGTGGGCATTGGTGTTCGTACTCTGCCACTCTCCAGAGTGGTTTTCTCTTCCTCGTCACCCCCGCTGAAGCTGCCTGCTGGGGGATCTACTTATCAGTGAAAGGAATGATTGAGAATCCCCAAGGGGGTCGCTGGGACTTCTTGCTTCACCCCTCCTCTTCCCTCCCTCCCTCCCCATGTACTGATCTTCAAGCAGTGGGTCAGGTACCAAATATCTGGACGTGCATAAGGCTATAGCTCCTTCAGGATGCTCACGGCCCAGCCGAGGGAGACAGCCAGTGATCAAACCCATCGAGCATCAGGGGACAGGTGCTCAGCTAGAGAGAGGGAATCTCTCTCTGCTATAAGGGCACAAAGACAGGCTGTCGGTCCTGCCTGGGGTGACACCACTACTGGGTCTTACAAAGTCAAATAAACTTAGCTGGGTAAAGAAGAGAAGGAAGTGTATCCCAGGTAGAGAAATGACATGCTTAGGCACTGAATCAAGTAATTTTTTAAAAGAAAGAAAATGCAATATAATAATGCCTAGGCAAAATAAGAATTTGTTTTTTCTCTCCAGTGTGAAAGAAGCCTGGATGTGGCTCCACAGTATCAAGGGTCTGGGTTTCTTTTATCTTTGTGTCCTATTCTCTTCAATGGAAGACTCCATCTTATAGCCCAAGAAGGCTGCTCAGGCTCCGGCCATTACACACTCATCCCAGAAGAACACATCTCTTCCCTTCAATAACACTTCTTAGAAGTTATGTGTGGCACTCTGCTTAGATCCCGTTGGTCAGGCCTTAGTCACATGGCCACTTTTACCCGCAAGGGAACCTCAGGAATGTCTTTATTCCTGGTAACCATGTGCCAGCTAAAAACAGGATTCTGGTATTAAGGAAGAAGAGAGAAATATTTATTAGGGGACACTCAGCAATCTCTGCCACGAACCTGAAAGGGGCTGCGGTGCAGGTCCCAGGGATTAAGAGCAGTTAATGGGGTGGGGGTGGGGCAGGGGAGACAAGGTTAGAAAGGGGGGCAGGTTCCGGGATTCACATTTGATCCACAAAACACATGAAAAGCCCTTAGAGGATTTTAGGTAGGGGAGTGATGCGTTCAGATTTCCAAAGTGAGTCAGAAGGGGTTTGGGGCGGGGAGGGGGGGGGGCGGGGGCGGGGGCAGTGAGGGACCCATGTGGGGGAGTTCAAAAGAATGCTCTCCTCTTTCGGGGGGGCGGTGGCGGGGGCAGTGAGGGACCCATGTGGGTGAGTTCAAAAGAATGCTCTCCTCTTTCTGCACTGCCTGTCCTCCTCTCTGCCTCATCCTCTCGGGGCTCTGTTCCTCTCCCCCTGCCTCAGGTTGGCTCTGGCCCTTTGGGGGTCTTTCAGCTCTACTGGGACAGCAGGGTTAATGCAGCCCCAACCGTCAAAAAAGTGTCTGAGCCACAGCCTTGGCTACTGAAGTGACCTCAGACACAGGGCCCTGGGCGCAGCCAGGAGAGTCAGGCTAGCATCCCTGGCTCAGTCCTGCCACCTCCCTCCTAGGATGACTGTGTGGGAACAGCCGGGTGGTACAGGTTCCAGGCGGGGAAACCCTGGGACTCTGGCTCAGGAAGTGCCAGTTTGTGCTTCGACGTCCTCAGTGATGGAAAACAGATGTCATTCAGGTGCTGATGTTGACTGATGGGGACTGGCTTCCTGGAGCACTGGCTTAAGAATGATCTTGAGGCCAAGACTTAGCTCAGCAGAAAGGGAGTTGTGGTTGATTAGTGATGCCTGCATGGTTGCTGGATCCGGAACTCACAACTGCTCACCACGTATTTTGCCTTCCATGTCTCCAGTCTAATGATGTGTGGGTCTCAGGTGCTGGTTGATTTTTGGTCCCTCTAAAAGATAGTCATTATTCCGTTCCACACCGAGGGAGGGGGCGTGGTCTGAGGAGAGGTGCCATAGCTCAAGGATGTCCTGTTCTATCTGGCGGAGAAGCTGCTGAAGCCCATCTTCAGTTGTGGCTCTGCAGTCTAAGCTTCGGTCACATCGTCTAGTCTTTGAGCAAAGACCAAGTCTTAGTGGTCTGTCTTATCCTGAGGGCCGTGGCTTGAATGTGGAAAGCAGAGTGAGGACAGCCCGAGTTTCTGGAAGGGGAAGGAGTTTGCCTTATGCCAGATGACTGGGGAAAGCAGCCACGGACGGGCAAGGGGCTGCTTCCTGGGCTAGCTCACACCAACCTGTCAGTTCCCTCCGGTTTACGACATGCGTGAAGTGTTCAGACGTGCTGATAGCTGCCACGCCAAAGGCCCGGGGCCCTGCCTGGATGGATAACCTGGGCCACTGCAGGGAACGACTCCAGAGGCCTTCCGTCCACCCCTCCCCCAGCCCACCCACATGGCGGAGACCCTCGTGCTCAGCCCCCATTCGGGAAACCTGTGCTCGTACTCCCACCAGAGAAAGTGCTGCTTTTTCTGGTCAAGTTCTTGAAGAGAGAGGAGCAGGCCTCCCTCCCAGCCTCTGTGACTCTGTCAGGGGAGGCGATTCCAGGGCCACTGTGGTGGAATCACAAAACCAGTGGCTTGGGATGACCCCTCACTCGGGTGTCTGTTTAAACCTCAGGACTTTCCTCTGCTTAAGTTTGTAAGGGGCTCTTTCCTCACCCCCTACCCCAGAAATGCCCTCAGGGGGAACCCTGGTATACCCTGACGTCGTAGGTCCTCAGCTCTGCCAGTGCCGCCTGGCTCGGTGCTTCTGGCTGGGTTCCAGAACGGAGCCCTCCCAGCGAGTGATGGCCGGCTCCTGACGGGTAGGGGAGCCCACCTTGACATGCCAGGATGGGATGGTCGGCTTCCCAGGTCTGATGACATGCCCACAGTCCCAGGCGCCCACAGCTAGATGTTTCAGCACTGTAAACAGAAACGCTCCCTTGTAAAGGGAAGCCCCACCTGACACGGCAGCCCACACACATCTGCTTCATCACCAGCCCTCTAATCTGCACCTCCCTGCAGCCCAGAGCTTCGTCTCTAGGGATTCCCCCCTTCACAGATTGGATCCACAGGCAGATTTGAAATCACAAGCCAGCTCCTCCTGTGGCCAGCCCACTCCCACGCCACCTGGCCCTGTGGGTACTGGGGGCTTATCCCTCGTTTGAATATTAAAGTCAGGCTTAGTCAGGACAGTGTAGCTGCTGCTTTCAAAGAAAATGAGGAAGTAAAATTCTGCAGCACACCCCTATTCTGGCATGAGCTGTGGGTGGGCCGCCCTCCCATGCTCCCCCCGTCGCGCAGAAAATCAGGGGCTGACGCTGTTCCCAGATGATGAAAGCAGAGCGTGGTGCCTAATAGGCACTTAATAAATGTTTGCGGAAATGAATTGGAGCAGTCTGAATTGACGGGATTGCGGGTTTCACTTTCCATCAGGTTTCCATGCCTCTTGAAACTCCTC